AGGGGAGCTTCCCACGGCAGGGCAGGCCTAGATCACCCCTCTCCAGATCCCAGCTGCAGCCTGGACTCCAACATGACCCCTTCTGGGCCCCAGGGCAAACCCACAGGGGTCACAGTGGCCTCCTCAGCTGAGCTGCGTCACTGGTCACTGTCCTGGGGTAGCTGTTACTGGGGTGCTGTCCCATATCTCTGAGTGAGAGGCGGGCGCTTCCTGGGTCTGTGGGGTGTCAGTGCCCCTAGGGCTACTGTGGTGATGGTGCCGCAGCCCCAGTGGCCTTTGGTGAGTGGGTGCTGGGGCCAGGAGGGCAGGGCAGACAGGAAGTCCGTGGCCCTCCACCCAGGCCTCTGGGCCAGGGCTGAACGTGGGGGGCGGGGAGAGGGGGCAGCTGGCCTGGGTTCCACAGGTGGAGGCTCAGGGGATGGATGGACCGGGTGGGGGGCCTGTTCCTGCAGCTGTTTATCTCCCCCCTGCGGGTCGGGGAACTCACCCTCCAGGAAGGAAGCAAAGCAGACAGACAGGCCGCCTGGACGCACAAGGGATGGTGAGGAGGGCAGTGCTCGACCTGAGGCCCCAGGTCTGGGCTCGCTCCCCTTCCCTCACCCAGACTTCCCGGGCAGTCCCTGCACTTCCTGCCCCAACCAACGGGCAGTCCCAGACCTCGGCCAGCTTGCTCTAGGCCTCGGCTAGGGAACCGGCCACTCCAGCACCCATGCAGCGCAGGTCCCAGCACCCCGCACTGCGAGGGTCCAGGCAGGCCCCCCCAGAATGCTCGGTCCAGCACCCCGTGTGACAGAGGGAGGGAGGAGGGAGGGCAGTTTAAAAACAACTTCCTCCCATTTCCAGTCTGTGGGGGGAGAATGGAGGCTGGAGAGCGAGGGGGTGGGGTCGGTATGGAAAAAGCCAAGAGGTGTTTCCACGAACTCAGCCCAAAGGGAAGCCACGAGGTCACAGGCCCCCACTGCCCCCGGAGCGCTCGCCACCCGCCAGCACCTGGACCCATGTGGAGTCCCAGCCCGCGCCCGTCCTGTCCTGCGCACTGTGCCTTCCTACCAGGACGCCAGGTGGAAGAACACGCCCCACCGGGGCAGACACGCCTCCAGCTCCCCAACTCCCCCAGCCGCCCGAGGAAAGGAGCAGGCGGGC